TATATATATATGTATATACTAGGTGCTTATTGTATACCTGTACATACATACATACATACATACATACATACATACATACATACATACATACATACATACACATATATATATATATGCATGCATGTATGCATGCATGCAGACAGACTGTCAGACAGACAGACAGACAGACAGACAGACGGACGGACGGACGGACGGACGGACGGACGGACGGACGGACGGACGGACGGACGCATACATACAAACATGCATACAGACAGACAGACAGAGACATACAAACATGCATGCAGACACACAGACAAATGCAAACATGCATACAGGAAGGCAGGCCGGCAGGCAAACAGACCTTTGCCTCATAACATATACGCATTAGATCTGCTGCTACTCTACAGTGAAGGTAGGCCTTGCTGGGAGGTCACAAAGCCCTCAGAACTCTGGCAGTTTGGATCCGGCCTTGGCTCCTTCATCCACCAGGACCTCTCAACAGGCATCCACAAGATCTCACAAGCACTGCAGGAAGGCGATGACACAGAACTCAAAAACGCCATCAGCATATGATTTGCTAGTTGTGCATCTGAAACAGCAAGCTTAAGTGGAAGAGCGGAGCCATGGAATCGAAAACCGAGCCTGGAGCAGGGAGTTCATTGCCGGCTCCGGAACTGTGAAGCTAAACTCCTTCTTCGCGTAGTTCGCGATCTGATGGGGCAGACACCGAGACCATAATGACATGCTAAATCTTTTTGTCACCGGACCCTCATCACCCTCATAATCACTGGCAGCGGCAGCAGCAGCAGCAGCATAAGTTCGAACTGTTGGCCATACATATGCATATATATATATATATATATACAGAGATTACGTATATGTTATATATATATATATGATATATATATATATATATATGACTATGTCCTCGTGGTTCTTATCCTCATTCTACTACCACTGCTGCTTATCTCGGCATTCTGACGAGTGCCTTTGTTGCCATGAGCCATGATCGGCATCATCATTTTACTATGACTACGTACCATGCCGTTGATAGGGTCACTTTCCTGACCAGCCGTGTTCCCATCAGCACGCAGAATCCGTCTCATTGTCGATATCATTCTTTTTACCCTAGTTCGTATCCTCGTCTTCATCATCCTCAACATGCCTTATTGTCGTCGTTGCTATTGCCATGCTTGCTTCCAGAAGCCGCGCTTTCCGTATCCCCCATATTTTCGCGCGACGTCCCCGCCTCCTTCTTATCCAAGACCCCGTCCTTGTTCGCGTCGTACTTCGTGAAAAGGACCTCTATGTGGACAGATTACATGCAGACCAGAAATTGCCGTGCATTCACGCGGCTCTCGTCTACAACCTACCTGAAACAATAACTTCTACATGAACCGTAGGCCCTGATAGATACTCTGAAACCCTCAACTGCTACCCCCGAAATAGCGCCGAATCACGACAGTCTAAAATACACGAAGCCCGCAACCCGGTACGCTCTTCGCGAGCTGGCGACCATCTGCTTGTCCAGCTTGGCCTTCGCCGTCGCTCGGCGAAGGGCCTGGCTTCCACTTCGACGTCTCCAGGTTCAGGGTTTAGGGCCTCTTGGGGTTTTGACGGGTTTTGTTCAGCCTTTAGGGACAATTCTGCATGACATGCATGTTGCGCAATGGCTTTCTTTTCACTCCATCTTCAGCGGTTTCAACAAACAGGCTTCTGCGTGCAAGGATCCCAAAAGTCGATTGCAGTTGAGAAGTAGCATGGGAGGAAAGTGAGTCGGTCTGCACAACAAGGGGCAAGTTGAGGAACAGATAATCAGTGCAGATAAACAAACAGCTTATTCTGCATGTACGTGTGTATGTATATGATGTATATATATATATATAAAGATACACATGTCCATATGTATATTCATATATACATAAATCCATTTATATATATATATATACACACACACAAATGTGTATGTATTCTTTTACTCATGCAGTAGCTATTCATGTACATCTTTGATGGTTTATATATGCCTATGTGTATATGCATGTAGTATATATATATATATATATCTATATATATATATTAATACATATATATATTTCATACATATATATATATATGTGTGTGTGTGTGTTGTATGTATACATGTTCAAATGTGCGAACGCACCTACCGCGTTTTTGTCTTGTGCATGGACGTACTTATCACCTATCTTTCTGGAGCTTGCGAGTGCGTGGAAGGCGCCTGTTCCTTGGAGTTTGTGCTGGACTTGATGACGGTGTCTTTGTCCATAGAAACCGCCGCCATCCTGCGTGAAATGGGGTTTGGAGCCGGGATCCTGCGAAGACAAGAGCCCCGGTCCTCTGCATTAGCCTTGAGTTCTGCTCCTTCAAGTCTTTCAGCTCAGGATCGAGGGCCTTTCTTGAGGGTTTAGGGTTTGGGACTTCAGGTCTTTTTTTTTGGACCTTTTTCCGTCTTGCTAGACAGGCTGTGGACTTCACGGTTTGGGCTCCTGGGTTTAGGGTTCCAGGGCTCGGGCTTTTGGGTTCAGAGTCCTGAGCGCTTGGGATTTAGGACTTGTTTTAGGATTCGGGCGCTGGTGGGCTCAGCTGGGCTGTCTACGCTCTCAGAGGATGAAGTTGTCTGTAAACTTGGCACACGATGAGGAAAGACACGAGCTGGAGGCTTGTCAGATGCTGCTGCAAGTTGTAGCTCTGTGTATTCATATGGGTAGTTCTCTAAATTAGGGTCCCTTTTTAGGTCCCCATTATAGTACGGCACCCTATATCAAGGACCTCAAAGGGGACCCTAATTTAGAAAACTACCCATATGGTACACTACAAGGAGGAGATGAGCACCATGAGCACCTGTTGAACTGAGAACCACAACAATAGCGGCGACGACGGCAGCAACAGGAACGGCGACAGTGACAGCGAGAGCGGCAGCAGCAACAGCAGCAAGAACAGGGCAAGGAGTGCTCTGCAGTAGCCTTTGAGCTGCCAAGCTGCCTGGAAGGTGTTGCCAACCTTTCGGACGAGATCTGTGCAGACCTGGCCAGGAGAAGGTGCCAGGCTCTGCGTGGCCATAGGCAGATTACGAATGATAAGCATCATAGTGTCAGCATCATAGCTCGAACCCCAACCACGAGGGCATGCGGACTGTTTAGAAAAATCACGACAAGCATGGCCAATATGCCGGAAATGCTATCGACATTCAGGGACAACCAAGATGTCGTTGGTGGGGTTTGCCGTGGAAGCACAGTTTTTTTGGCTACGAGCTTCAGTCCTAGGCACCAGGAATGAACCCAAAGTCTCCAGAAAGCCCAAAGCCGACAGGCCCTGAAGCCCCATATTAATATGGGAGCCTGAACAATTGGAGGGTTCTTTTGGTGTATATTTCACAAATGGTTGATATATTTATAAATACAGATATATTCATATATATATATATACAGAGACTGTGAAGGGGGAAGTATTACTTACTACTCAGACCCTATGTTACAGGATCTTTTGCCGCAGGTTCCGGCAAACCCTTCGAGGCCTCGTAGGCATCGTTCGCTTCCTTCGTGGCCGTCTCGATGCTGGCTATGAGGTCCTTGACCTGCCCAGGTTTGCGGATTCAGCCGAAAGCAAGAAAGAACCGTAAGAGGCGTTCGACTTGGGACGACCGGCATCGTGGTGTTACTACCTTGAAACACTAGAAGTGGCTCAGGTAAGAACGTCTCAGTTGTGCCCCGGGTTCCTGAAGCCCCCGCAAGAGATGCGAGGCCAAGACTTCCAGGGCAGCCAAACACATACGATGATGGATTAACCTCGACTTGCATGCCAGTAGTGCATCGACGCAAGACGCAAGACCGCAAACTTTCGCTTTGTTTTGTGGCAGTGCCGCACTTTCGCGGTCGCTGTGGGGTCTTTGAAAACCATCTGGCACCCATGCAACCACAAGATGCAGACCGCGAGCTGGATTTCAGCAGGGAACCTACCACAACGTCAGAGTCACAACATAGCCATAGTTCCAAGCAACAGTCCTGTGGGTGACAGCAAAAGCAGCACTGCTGCGTAGGCACCAGGTGCGTGATTTAAAGAGTTCTTTGGCCCTGTGGCCACGGACGACCAACTAAGACCCGCTCCAAAGCTGGAAGCCTCTGGTGAGGGAGCTTGGAAAGCCTACGACCTACGACTACGACGAAAATGACGCCGACCACTGATTGCGACGACCACTGCTCGTGCGCTGCTGATGCTGAAGGTGTTGGCGGCGACAGAAACGGCTTGTTTCAACGACAAGTCTTTGTAAGAATCACAACCTTTAGGGTTGAAAATTTTAGGCTATGAGCCACACTGCAGTGCAATTCCTACCATCGCTTGCTGCACCCTCCAAACGGAGCAAACCGCGAGAGCACGTCAGCCGATCTCATGCACCAGAGCACACCTGAGCGCTTGCTTGATTCCAGGCTGTAGGCGACACTCTGCACGCTGGGGAATAATGACTTCGTGCCAGCCACAACATTCTGAGAGCAAGAGACCCGGCCCGAACCCCGAGCCACGCACGGGAGATGGAGATCTTATTCGATTTCCATATCCTGCAATCGAAACCAAGAGATAGAGCCCCTCCAAGAAGGAAACCTTCTGGAGACACATTAATGGTGGCAGGTTGTCTGTTCGGGAAAGTTGCACAGCGATGCCACCTTGCCTTTGGGATGCTCTCGTCAATGATGGTGCCCCCATCTTGAGTCTCCGCATCGGACGGCCTCCGGGTTCAGGCTTTGCAGGTTGTTGCTCACCTTCAGTAACCATCCTATATAATATGTAATATCTAATATATACTTATAATATAGTATACAATATATAATATAATGCTGACCTTACCCACATCGCCCGAAAATGCGAGTACATGGCAGGTGGCCATGTAGCCTGTAGCTCGGCGGGAAGACCTGGACAAGGATGGAGCACATTGCGCCGCCTCCAGGAGAGGAACTTACGGCTGGATTGCTCATGAGTATTTAAAAACTGGGACCTCCAAAAACTTGCACGGAGCCTGTTCAAAGAAATGCTTGATACTCCCTTTCGGAATGCAGCACAGGTTTCTCAAAGGAAAGTAACCTCGTGCTGGGAAGACAACGGTACTCAGCTGGGACACGAAGCTCTTTATATCCCATGCCCCTAAATTCCCGGCACCAAGAAGCATGAAACGCCGGACCTAACCACGCCATGTACCAGTCCGCCTTTTCGGCCTTTCTTGCGTGCATCTTTCTTGGCCTGGACAGAAGTACAGGGCTGGTGTGAAGTTCTGCAGCTACTTCAAGATATTATGTGTACGCTACAAGCGACAGCAACGATGGGGACGACAAAACTAAAAATGCCAAACAGCGACTGCTGCAGCAGCAACAGCAGTTGCGACGACAACATCGACACCGACGACGACGACGACGACG